CTCATGGTAGCCAACAGAATACATGGAGCAATTATGGGTGCTGAGCTCGCTTTCTGATATTGGAGAAGCTTGCAAAATTAAAAATGCTAACAGCAAACCTTTTGCACAGGTAAATATGTGCTGAATCAAGCAGTTGTGCCTCTTGCCAAAACAATCCAATAGTACAATCAGTTCAGTTTCACTGAGACCATCAAAAATGTCCATCAGAATAAAATCTGATATCAGGGTGGGAGAGGGCTCACAGCACTCACAGAAAGCTAAGTCATTTGGCATTTTCAGTTTCACTGTCTCAGTCACTATTTGGTTCACAGCCTGTCAGATCATATGAGCAGTTGTATGTGTGTGTGAGAGAGAGAGGTAACTTGCTGATATTCTGTGAGTTATTTGATGGCATGCTTTGCACATGATACAAAATTAGCCTTTAGAAATTACTGGAAATATATTTCAGACTCCAAGTTTTCCCTTTTCTCTCTCCAACACCCCCCCCCAAGTTTTTTTCTTTATAGGCAGCTTTAAATAGAAATTGCACCAAAGCTCTATGAAGCATTAATAGTTTGTGGAATAAAGGAAAACTCACTGGCACATTTCCAGAACATGTCAGCTGGCCATGTACCAAACAGCGCAGACTTGTCTTTCCAAATAGCTCCTTGGATTCCTTGTTTTCAGATAGTTTTACAATGTAGTGCTCTAGGTACTTATATTATATTACATAACTAGGATGTAATTGCTTCTAGAGAATACCAGGAGCGGGAGAGGCTTGCATTTGACAAGAATCATGAGCATTTCTTAGTCTTAATGTTCCTTAAAGTACAATTTCATTTTTTTTTCAATCCATTGAGGGGAAAGACTTGATGGTATCCTTTTACTGCCCTTAGAGAAGAAAAATTGCTCAAAAGGTTTCAGCTCCTTCCATGTTTCAGCCTCACTAGGCAAACAGTAAAAACGTTAGTTGCTTTTCTCACTAGTCTGAGCTTACTTGGCTTGCTGCTTCTGCAGTTCTAAATACGTTTCTAGACTTTAGCCCTTTCAAACATACATAATGGCCAGAAGGAATTTTTTAGATTGCTTTCAGGGAGACAAGAATTAAAGATCAACATACAATTGCGGTATTCCTTAAGGTTAGGAGCTCTATTTTTCAAGCATACATAAAGTTCTTTTATGCTTGTATCTGCTCCTGGTAGAATGACTGTTCACCCCAAGGAGACAATCGCTAAAGAGTATAGAGACTAGCAAGGCTTCAACCACTGAACCCAGCAATAGGGATCAAGTATCGGAGTGCTATCAGAGATTTCGTGGCCAAGATGAGCTTTCTGTCAGTGACTGGCTGAGCTGCCCCACTTTTTTTTTTTTTTTTGTATTTTGTATACAATTTGAACAAAATGAAACAAAAACATAAACTGGGGAAAAAACTATTAAACTATGTTAATATTGGTGTGTGTGTGTGTGTGTGTAAAATACAGCTTTCTAAGAATGATCCCTTAGAAAAGGCAGACCAAATGTTCTTCTATGCATCCATGTGCAAGTGGCATCTATATCTGTACCCTATCAAATGTGGAAGAATCGTTTGCTGCCTTCTCGCCATAGAAAGGCGGGGAAGATAGAAGGATCATTCTAAGAAGCTGCTCTGATTCTAAGCATCTCTGACTTCTGTTGCCTGGTCAACACATGTGATAGAGGGAGAACAAGCAGCAAAGGAAACAAGGAAAGGGGGGTAAAAGGAGGAGACACGCAGGAAAAGAGAAGGTAAAGGCCTAAGAAGGCAAGGGGTCAAGGAAAAAGGGAGTGGTCCACAGGCAGCTAGAAGGAGAAAGGGGAACTGGAAAGAGGAAGGTCTAACAGGACAGGCCAGAAATGACAAAGGTAAGGGGAGGTCTCCATTCATATATTGATCTGAAGTAAGCAGTTAGAACATTGGTGTACGGGTCTCTTGAGCATCTTTTAATGAAGAGATGTCAAACTTCTTTCAGCTGAATTCTATTTTTGGTAAGGGTGGTGGTGAATTCCAATAGTGGGGGGAAGGGAGAAGGGCCCAAGCCCTCGCATTTTTTATCTTGCTGCTCTTACTGCCTGTGACTGCAAGAGGGACATTTCATTTTTTTAGAATGGGGAAATAAACTGCAAAAGCCAGGAAACCATTGCAGAGGGTAGGGAAGCATGATTTATCTGGTGATGTTGAAATGGAAGCTTGATCATCTGGAGACTGCAGAAGGCCCCGATTTGGCTTCTAAGCCTGAGTCTCAACATCCTTGTTTAACGTGACAGAAGCTCTGACTTATATTCCTATATATTGTGGTAGTTCTTTTCTGATAACAGGGCTTCTTTTTAACTTATTGGATATTTACCATAATATTACTTGGGGCATCATGTTATACATAGTGCTGCCAATCTGGATACTTGCCATTCTCATTTGCTTGTAATTAAGAGGGCTAATATTTATGCTGGTGATGTGCCTGCAACAGCTATTCGGCATGTCCTATTTCCTACTCCAGCCCAGATGCCACGTTTCTTGTCTATTTTAGGAATGGCTATATGGGGTTGGTAGTCTGAAAACCTGACTTCTAGTATGGTTTTGCTCAGTGTATGCTTCAATAGTATATACTATTTTTGCTCTACTGCTGGATTAAAATTGTGTTAGAAACTTTGTGTAGCTGATGTCAGAATTTGACCCTATGGGTGCAACTTCATTAGCATGGATTGTTGATGGCAAGCAGCAGCAATTTAGGAAGCAACTCCTTTGATATAGAGGCTGCTAATCTTTAAGTTAGGGCAATGCCTTTTTCCCATTTACTTGACTCAGAGTCTTGTGACTAACCAGCAGTGCTACCTAAGACATTCTGCTTCTTGAGGGGAAGGACAAGATGGCAGCCCTTTCACATTCCACACACAGAAGCCAGTTGGACTGGCAGTGGAATCTTACTTCAAGACTGGCTCATGGTAGCATCATCCACTACACCCGAAGCTACAAGCTAGTTTAAGTGAACAAGGGACATTGTATGGCATATTAAGTTGAGTCCTCCAATGCAGGAGAACAACCAGGGAATTCGGGAGTGACAGACGGGATGCTACTATTGCTGTCACCTGGCATCTGCTGCCTGAGCTGGTTGCCTCACTCTGCTTTATGGAATAGCTGGCCCTGCTAGGCAGGCATGAGTGTAGCAGGAGAGAAGAAAGTGCAGGGACAGCGGTGGGGAGCCTAAAAAACACATGGTATGACTTGATGGGAAATCAAGCAACCAGAAAAGTGTTGGTTTTCTTTTAATCATTCTGCATGAAGAAGGGGACTTATCCTATAGAGATTAAAAAGAGACAGGCTGTCACAGTGGGGCATAAAACAAACCAACCAAAAACAAAACCAACCAACAAAAAGAAACCAGTTTTGACTTTACATACATGCTGGTGGTGATGGTGGCAGTGGTTTGTCATGTACAATCTTAAAGGAGTCATTCTTCCCCTCTCATAATACTAGAACCTGGGAATATCCAACAGAGCTGAATAATGAGAGATTCAGGATAGATAAAATGAAGTACTTCTTTACACAGTGTATAGTGAAGCAATGCAATTCAGTACCATGAGATTTCATGATGATAACCCAACTTGGATGTCTTTAACAGTGTGTTAGAGAAATGCATAGAGATCTTGCTATTGATGGCTACTATTCATGATGTCTATATGTTACCTTCCATATCAGAGACAATATGTACCCTCTGTACACTCCTTGCTAGGGAACACAAGCAGGAACCTCGTTCTGTATGTGGCTACTTCAAAAACATCTGGTTAACCACTGAATGTTGGACTTGATAGGTCTTACTTTGGTCAGGTCCAACACAACTCTTCTTATTTTCTTGCAAATGCATCATTTTAAACTGCATATGTGGGTTCATATGATTGCGTTTGCTCCATATAATATCTACCCTTCACACAGAGCATTAGTACATCATAGAGAAGGTTTCTTTAGCCTAGCTCTGTCCCTGGCATGCTAGATTTCTGTGTCTAGGGAAGAACATTCAGTCATGTGAGCCACACTTGCCATTCAAAATATTACTGTCAACAAAGAAGTTAGCATCTCATCTGCACTTTATAGATGACAAGATGAATAAGTAGAGAGGTGTATTTCAGCAGGAAAGGTGTTCAAAATTGAAGGGGTAAAGGAAGCAAATTGCATGGAGAAGGCCTTAGAGTGCAAAGATTTGTCAAAATTCTTTAGCACAGAGAAAGGGGGATTAACATGTGATATGCTGCCTATCTTCAAATATCTGAAAAGCTATCACATAGAAGATGGAACTCATCAGATGTTCCAGAGGGTAAGACCTGAACCAGTTTCAAAACAGAAGAAAAGGGATTTCAACAAAACATTAGGAAAACTATTCTGGTTGATATGAGGTAGTGGGTTTTTAAGGCATGTGTTCATGGCCACCTGTCAGGTATGCTGTACCAGCAGAGCTCCTACACTGATGGGGATTGCAGAATTTAATGACCTTTGAGATCACTACCAACTCTAGGATTCTGTGGTTTCTCATGATGGTAACAGGGGGTAAGTTAGATGGCCATACTCCCAACTACCATTCATTCATCTGAATGCCTCCCCACCCCCCATTCTAACCGTCTGAAATGCCTCTCCTAAGGCTGGTTACTGACAGAAAAAGCAGGCTGATACTTTTGGTCTTTTGCCTTTAGCCCTGCTTGCCACTGGAATGTGGTCCCCAGGCACTTCCTTGACATTGCATTGAACCCTTGAGTTGAAAGAGGCTCCCCACCCCTGAATTAAGTAAAGGTGTATGTGGAGGGTGGTGGGGGGGATGATGTGAAAGCAGCTAGGTGAAAATGTATGATGAAGGCAGAAATCTTTTACACAGGGAGTAAGCCACTCTTAAATAGCTTACTCCCTGTGTAAAAGATTTCTCTTAAAATTACATTTTTCTTCACTCCTCCTTCAAAAGTTCTTCTCTGTCAAGTCTCCCAATCTTTATTGATGTTGTCTCCAACTTTCGCCCTTTTAACAGCTTCTCACAAATGCCAACAGCTTCAGGGAAATATGATACCAATGATAACATCACGATATTCACCAGGATTCTGGATGGCCTGCTGGATGGGTATGATAACAGGCTTCGCCCAGGCCTGGGAGGTAGGCTACATGTTCCTACAAGTATACATCTTATTGTGTAACAGGAAAGCAGGGTATCTTTTCAGTGGTGGCACCCCAGTTCTGGAATGTCCTTCCCAATGAGATGTGCTTGGAACCCCCATTAAATATTTTCAAATGCCATATGAAATTATAATTATTATGCCAGGCAGTCTGATTTTTAAAATGCTTTGACCTTTAGTATGGATTTAATTATGACTATTTTATTGTTCGTATTATGGTTTTATTGCATATTTTAGATGTTTTGATGTACAGTCAAACCTTGTCTTTCACAGGTTGAACTTTCATGGATTTGGTTATTTCTGAGTTTCAGTGCACTAAAGAACTGCGGTCTGCACACTCTATTTGGGGATGCCATGCGCATTGTCTCAGTCCTACCCAGCCTCACTCATGTGCTTTGTCTCTCAGTGGGCACAGAGACTCTAGAGATATTCACGGTTTTTCTCTCGAGATATTTGCAGTTTTTTCATTTTCATGGGGGTCTTGTGACCCTAACCCCGCAAATGTGGAGGGCCAGCTGTAGATACTTTAGTGCTTGTAGTTGCTGCCACTGCCTGAGAATCTATTGAATGGAGTGGAGAGGGATCAGAAATGTTTTGAATGAATGAATGAATGGTTTCTGGAAGAAAACTTAATACAACATGCAGTTTTCTCCCAGTAAGGCAGGGACAGGGAAGACCTCTGCTCCTTCCTGTACCTCTCATTGGTGGAGTGAAACTCCTCCATGCTGCATGCAAAGCAAAAACTCAAAGCAAAAACTCAAACTCCCCTTGGTGCTGATGGAGGCTTGTAAAAGGGGAACATTTGTGGCGAGGAGAGAAGGACCAGCTGATCCTTTGTTGCTCTGACTTTTCCTGCTTCATGTAGGCTTTAAACAATACCTGACTGATACCAGTGGTGGCTCCTCGGAAGTTTTCTTGCAGCAGAGGGCTGACATGACTATACATAAGGGAGTTGGTGTGTATAGGAGTTATTGAGAGAGAGAATGGGGCTTGGGCAATCATGCTGGGGACACATTTCAGCAGATGGGGGGGGAGTCTCTCCATTGCTGCCTGGCAGCCCATGATGTGCTTGCTTAACACCAGTTCACCTCTCAGGCTGAAAAACATCCCCCAGCCCTGCAACAGGGGATGAGCCTGAACTTGGTCAAGGGGGAGCAGAACTCTCCCCCCATAACTCTTTGTCCCCCTTTTCTTTTTGCATGTTAAAAGGTTTTAAAGTCAGAGTTGAAGTCCCTGTCCAGAGACTTGTAATGTGTCACACTATGCTCAGGACAGTCATGGAAAAGGCAGATCCCCTCCCCTCCTCTCCTCACCGTGTGTGTGTGTGTGTGTTCATTGACCTATCAAGGAGATGGGAGAGTGGGAAATGGTTTGGTGGAGTGACTGACCCAAAGGCACCCAGTGAGCTTCCTGGCTGAGTGAAGACTGGAACCTGAATTCCCCGGGCCTTCACTCTGGCCTGCTAACCATTGCACTGGCTCTCGGCATCTAAGCCTCAAGCAGTAACATTTGCTTGATTGTATCCAATATTTATAGCCCATCTTTAATACAAATGTTCAAGGAAGACTTCAAGCCCATCCCAAAGAGGGCTGGGGAGGGTGAATCCACAGTGAAGGAGCGACTCCATCCAAGGCTTGGGTGTGCTTGTGCTGATAGGACATGTCCTTTTTGCCCTTGGAACACCCAGTGGTGGAGCTCCAAGAAAGCAGAGGCTTCCATCAGTGAGAAGCCTTGAAAGGATGGCTCTCCCTCTCTGTCCATGGACTTCCATAGCCATGGATGTAGAGGGAGATCTGCATCCTCCCGTGGCTACTGAGATCCCCTCTTTCATGGACCTTGGACCTCAGGTATTTCATTGTGCTTCAAGGGATGCACCAGGCTGAAGTTCAGGCTACTTCTACAGGGGAAAGATGGCTGGTCAGTGCCTTATTCAGTACCTTTCTGGCAGAGGGAGCTGCTCTCTCATCTTCATCTGATTCAGAGGGTGCTACTTTGGCAGAAGGATCTTCGTCCCAGCCTTTCAAAAAGCACTGACAGTTAAATTAGGTGAGGGCGCCTTAACAGACCAGTTACGTCCTCTAGAGGGGTACAGAGAACCAAGCTGACCATGCTTTAGGTTTTGTCAGCATCCCTAATCTTTGGCATTAGTTCATCAGCAAGACAACACCTTTTCATTCCCCACAATGGAGAGAATTTAGCTAAAACAGCTTACTTGGAGCTATTTAAGATCTGCTCTCTGCATAACATGATTTCTACCTTAGCGTTGCCTGCTGCACCTTGACTTACCAGCACTGACTGGATTTTATCTGCTTTGTGTTTTTACTTTGTCTACTTGACCAAACTCCATCAGATTCTATTGGTGTCCCCTGAAAGCCTCAGATATCCATGGGACAGATCATGCTCATAGGATTTAAAATAATATTTCTAAAAATGGAACAAAATAATAAAATGGTGCCAGCCATAACCTATCAGAGACCAACTAAATACAGCATTTAAGGACCACTTAATGCCTTGGTAACCAAATATTTTTAGTTGGTGCTTACCATCCACTGAAATAAGTACTAGTTGGTTAGACATACTGAGAGAGCTCCACTAACAAGGTGCCACCATGGAGAAGGCCCTGTTCTTGATAGCCACCTGCATCACAGGTGGGTATCCTGACATCTTCCAAATATTTTAAAGCATACCTCTTATTAGCCCCACTCAGCATGAGCAATGAGCACTGGATATTGAAGTTGTATTCCAAATTGTCTAGTGGGTACAAGTTTTTCTACCGATACATCAGAAGGTGGGAGCATCCAACTTCTGGCCTCCATCTTCTTACCCACTTGCTATACATACACGCATACTACAGATCTACTGAGGTCTTGTCCTTAACTGAACTGTTGGTATTACATCATTGTGTCTGTTTATCTTTATTATTGTTATTGATGGATATTTCCACCTTTTGTGCTGCACTGTGAGTGTTTGGTCCTAAAAGTTGTTCTAAAAATATTGTAGATAGATAGATAGACAGACAGACAGACAGACAGACAGATAGATAAATAGGCCAGTGTGGTGTGGTGGTTAAGAGCATGGGACTGGGACTCAGAGGATCTGGGTTCTAGTCCCCACTCAGCCATGGAGCCAACTGGGTGACTTTGGGCCAGTCACAGGCTCTCAGCCCAACCTACCTCACAGGGCTGTTGTTGTGGGGATAAGATGGAGGAGGAGATGTAAGCTGCCTTGAGCCCTTTGTAGGAAAAAGACAGGATATAAATCACAGTATAAATAAATAAATGTGAGTGTGCATGCGCACACACCCACACATACTGTCCTATTCTAGTATGAATGAGTGAAGTGTGCTTCTAATTTTAATTCATAAATGCTAAAGAGTACTTATCTGTAGGAGAGGTTCTTTCCTTTCATATCTGGAAGGAAACATTGAGCATGCCACCCATCTGCTTCAGTTAATTGTGTGCTATCACTTGCATCACAAAATGGTACAGCAGGCAGATCCGTTATCTAGGTATCTGACAGTGGCAATATGGTGTGAACCAATGAATATTACATTTCTCTCAACTATAGGAATAGTCAAGTGCCCCCACAGTTTCTAAAGATGTACAAGATTTTATTTTGGCTGGCAAAATGTTGTGGTGTAAAATTGGCCAGCTTTAGCCATATTACTGAACTGCATTGAAATCATTGGTGAAATTTCTCTTTATCTTCATGGCCCCACATTTATTTTTAAGCTGCCATTCTATGAAGCCAGAATGAATAGGGCCAGGGGGAACTCTAATTTGTGCTGAAAAAGATGTGCCAAACCTTGATTGAAGGACTGTAGGTCAGAGAGACATGAATTGATAGTTAAGAGTAGAACCGTACCAATGCTTCTAAATGCAACTACCTTGTGAAATTGCATGCTGCAACATGTTTTAATTTTACCATTCAAGTTTTTTTCAAAGCAATGCGAAGAGATTACTTTAAAATCAAAGCATCGACACTTCAGTGATTCATAGGAACTGGGCACTAATACAGGTGCACAGGCACCTGGCCTATAAAGCTATCCCGTCTATTTCAGTTATCCATGATTTATTTATTTCAGTGAAGGGGACGACTCCTTGTCGGCCCACTTTTATGCGCAGAGACATCGCCCATCTGTGGAAGTAGTGTACACACAAAGGCATACAGATGCTTGGGCCCAGTCCCGTGCCAAGAAACAGGCACTTACTCCCTGTGCCGTGCAGGACTTCCCCTGCACTGCTCTTGTAGGCTGCTTTTCTACTGCCACTTATTTCTATACTTTTGTGACATACATTGAGCACCAAAACACGTTTAGTGCTGTAGTTAGCACCAGCTAGTGCCAATTCCAGGTTTTTGAAGGCCCTTAGATCAAACAGCCGCAGTGGGCTCCCTGACTTATCTTTGCACAACCATTGTCACCATTTGCATCCTAGGAACTCATCCTCGTCTTCATCCGTGCTGCTGCTTGCTTGCTTGCTTGCTTGCTTGCTTGCTTGAGAGGCAGCCAGCCAGTGAGCAAATACCTGCATCGGTTCCTCCTCCTCCTCAGCATTGTCTACACCAGAGAAGGAGGCAGGTAAACAGGCAGGTTGTAGTGGTGAAGAGCAGAAGGTCCAGAGGGCCTTCCTGGGGGACTTCAGCAGGTGACCAGTCAGGCCTGCTCTTGATGGCCCCACCTGGATATGGTAATTGCTCAGACATTTTATAGCATTTACCAAGACAGACAGGATACCACTGGTGGATGGAAGCACGGCTTGGCATGACAGTAGCGAGGATGTTTCTACAGCAGCTTCCACAGCAGGGATGGGGTTAGGGTTCAGGTTTTTCCCCCAAGGGGTAATCTGTCAATGGCTGTGCACTGACGTGGTTAAAGTGAGGCATGGGCAAGAACAGAGCCAAAGTGTGTAGGGCCACCCCACTCCCCTCTCATACATTCCTATCACCAACTTTACCCTCCATCTCTCCTCTTCCTCTTCTCTACTGAGCAGGCTGATTGGGGATGAGGGGTGGATCACTCCTACTAGAGGTCATTGGAACCTAGGAGGCTGGCTTGAGCCATTGGTCCATCCAGTCTGGCATTGTTGACAATGATTGACAGAGGCACTCTGGAGTTTCGGACAGCTTTCCCAGTCCTGCGTGGAGATCCTAGGGCTTGAGCCTGGGAATGTCTAAATGAAAAGCATGTGCTCCTTAACAGAGTCATGGCCCCTCTCAGCTGTGACCCCTTCCTTGGTGCTGAACAGATTGCTTGTGGAGAGTTTTTGAAATTAAGCTAAGGAGTGTAGGTTGCAGACTCTTCTTTGGACACCCCTCAACTTCATTATTGCTATAAAATTAGTTGCTTCCTCGTCACTTCTGAGAACTGATACAACCATGGTTGATTTACTGTCTGTATTTCTTTTGCTGTAGAAAGAATAACTGAGGTGAAAACAGACATCTATGTCACCAGTTTTGGTCCTGTGTCAGACACTGAAATGGTAAGTGCCACTCTGAAGGCCAAAACAGACATTATTTAAAATCTGTGTGCAAGAGTTTTGCCTTTTGTCCTCACTTTTACGTTAGGCACAGGCTTCCTCATTTAGATTGGGACCCTAGTGTGGAAGGTTAGGGCTTTTTAGGATCCAGATCAGCCCCCCCCCCCCCCCCCCCCCCCCAACATCTACTGGGGAGTTAAAATGAGCCAAAGTCATATCTGCTAAATGCAGGTTTCAAGTAATACGTATCTGTTTTGGCCCACATACTCTAAATATCTCCTGCTTTTGTCCTTTGAGTGAATGTGAGGTCTGATCCATTCCTATGAACTACATCTCTACCTTCTCTTTATTTTATACCAGGAATATACCATTGATGTTTTTTTCCGACAAAGCTGGAAAGATGAAAGGCTTCGGTTTAAAGGCCCGATGCAACGTCTGCCTCTGAACAACCTCCTGGCCAGTAAGATCTGGACTCCAGACACATTCTTCCATAATGGGAAAAAATCCATTGCCCACAACATGACCACTCCCAACAAGCTCCTGCGCCTTGAGGATGATGGGACCCTTCTCTACACAATGAGGTGAGGCTGCCACTTGAGGTGAGACCCCTTCTGAGCCTCATTTGGTCCTCCTTTGCCAAGCCCCGTGAGTCTTCCCAAGTGAGTCAAGGAAAAATCTCTTACACATATTTATGAGAAATATCAAAGGAAAGTGGGAAGCCTAATCACGATATACAAGTAGCAATTAACGTGCAGCTTTTGAACAATGCTGCTTTTAAAAAAGATATTCTCTGAAGAGCAAATGATTCAGACCTTTTTCTTTCTTTGCTCAAGCAGATGGATATGTTGCTAGCATAAGTATTCAAAGCTAATCTGCTGATTTTGATCTAAGCTGGATGCCTGATGGCTGGATCTGTCACTGGTTTGGTACATCTTAAACAATCAAAGCACAGAACTTGCTTGTTTGTTTTTGCCATCCTAATTTAATTAAAGAGGACTTAAGGCTAAAGCTGTAGCTGGTGTAGGGAAAAGCATGATTTTAGCAGGCACTTGTTCCCAATTGAGTGAGAGCTTCATTTTAGTCTTCATGAGTTTGACAGGAGCCAGACCTTTCAGGGACCTGGTTCTCTTCTGATCTAGCAATTTCGGAAAGAAATGCAGTGGCACTGCAGTGACATCAGTGTTGGCGATGGTGGAGCATAAGCTCCCACATGGCCTGATTATTTTGATTCTCATTGCAAATAAATATTCAGTAATATCAAATTAACGAAGAAATAAAATTTGCATTGAAAGCCGGATCCCATGGGCAAAAGTTCAAAGGATGGTTGGGGAGAAGTGGAGTGATTGACAATGGTGGCAAACTGCAAGCTCTCCTCCTCCCTCCTCAAGTCACAATGAGTGGAACTCAAATTCCAGTGGTTTGTTCTTGGCTCACTCAGAATTTTCCTGTGCTGCTGCATCCCATTCCTCCCTGGGAGGTTGCTTATCACCAGTAATGGCTCCAAAGGAACCGGTGTTGGGTCATGACGAAGAGACTGAGGTACAAATCCGGAAGGCTCCAGTTCAAATGTTGCCTCTGGCAGAAACTTACTAGGCAGCCCTAAAGCAAGCTTCTCTCTTTCTCCCACCCCTAATAATACTGACATGGGAGATCTTTTACAGGGATTGCAGAAAGATAATGCCTGTGACACACTTTATAGTACTTAACAGTTGCACGGTGCTTCCAAGTGTTCAGATGGAAGCACCATGCAATTGTTAAGTACTACAAAGTTCTGATGGGAGTCATAGCAAATTTTGCAGGAGACAAGTGCAGTTTTCATTCTTCCAGCTGTGCCCTCCTTGGCCACAGCATTCCCATGCCCCTGATTTTCCTTTGCTTCCTCCAACAGTCAGTCAGCATTCCATGGCTATGTCAAGTCACTGCTGGCATGTTTCGGGCCTTCCCTGCCTTGGATCTCACCCCTAAAGATATTGAGAGCCAGTGTGGCCTGGACAGAGCGCTAGGCTTGGGCTCAAGAGATGCAGGTTCCAGTCTCCACTCGCCCATTAAGCTCACTGGGTGACCTTGGGCTAGTTGCTCACTCTCAGCCCAACCTGCCTCACAGGCTTGCTGTCCTCAGTCGAGAGCTCTAAGCGGCTAGTTTTGGCCGTAACCCTTTTGCGGACTCCTTTGCCTGCCACTCAGATGTGGCCCCTGAAAGCTTCTCCAAAATGGAATCCAGCCCTCGGTGTGAAAAAGGTTTGGAAGCCATGGGCCAGAGGATCCCGGTAAGGTCCCCTCTGTATCCTCACATGTGTTCTGGGACTTCGGGCCACTCTGGATCCTGCGTTAGGGCTCCTGAAGCTCCTCCCCTTTCCCCACAGCCTCCTGGGTCTGCCTCCTTCCAGGTTCCCTTCACTGTGGCAGTGGCTCATATTGCAGCACTGGAACAGCACCAGGACATGGGCATCTCAGCACTTCTTTTGGTCCACCCATGCCTATATTCAGCCAAGCCAACCGAGCCGTGGTCCCATCAGGGAGCCCTCCAGAGCCCGACTCCTTTGTCCGAAGAACAGAAAGATACAAAAGGACTCTCGTTTGAAAGATACACATTAACGCATGTGCAGAATTAAAAGAATAACAAAGAATAAAGCCAGCTAAAACCATTACAGGAATGTGGTGATTGCATGACCTCGTAACCCATGCCCATTCCCAGTTCCTTCCTGGTCTCCTTCCTGTGGATTATCCTTTTGTGAGTACATTGGTGGCTAATAAGGCCTGAACAAATGAAGTTAGATATACTGAAAAGTGCATGGCAGGAGGTAGAGGGAATAATAAGGTAGCTTCAAAGGAAACTGAAGCATTAGACTTGCTTTAAAACTTTCTGCTTTGGTTTCACTCCAGACTCCAGTTTTTGATTTCCAAAATCTTTGTTCATATAGAAGAAAAGCATCTCAATCAAAAATCAAGACATTGCCTGTGAATACTCTGTCCAGGGCTGGTGGAAGTGATGGCTAGGTTCCTGCTGACAGCCCAGAGCCCAGCAGTGCCATTGACAAGAGAGCCCCACCTCCTCACCACTTGAACCTGCTTGTTCACTTGCTTCTTGCTCTGGCCTGGACAATGGCATGGGCAAGGAGAAAGGAAGCAGGAGATGCGTCTGCTGGCTTGCTCACTGACTCCCTGCCTGTCAAGCAAGCAAGTAGTAGCAAGGATGAGAAAGAGTGTGAGGAGCAAGAGTAGATGGTAAGAATGGAAGGAAGGAGCTGTTTGAGGGGACTGGCCCAAGGATCCTTAAGAACCAGGAACCAGCCCCAACTCTGGCTGTCAGTGTAATAGAGGTAGGATGCAGAGGAGGATAACTCCGGGACTCTTTTCAGGACAAGAGAGAACCCAAAGGTTGATGGACCCTCCTTGCTCTGAGATGCAGAATAGCTGAATGGGTTTTTCTATTGTGCATGGTAAATCAGAACAGAAGAAGCTAGAGAATTACTAAAATAATTACGCAGGGGCTGGATCCAATTTCCCTTTCCCTTGATGGAGAATTTCCCTTCATGCTAGCACCTTACATGTAATCTTTTCAAGATGGGTTGCATTCCTATTTATTTATTCATTTATTTATAATGGCCAAAGTGGTTTACAGCAAAAACTGAATGTAAGACATAAAAACTGTTACTGAATGTAAGGCATGAAAAGTTGACATACAAACAAGTAGCATGCAAAACAATTAAAAACCAGGAGCATACAAAATAAGTAACATACAAAATAGAACCTCTTGAATAGTGTTGTCCAGAGTGGGAAACAAAGAGGGGGTGGTCTTCCTAAAAGATGAAATCCTATCAACGCAGAAGGGGAGGGCGCTGTGTATGCTGAGAGAATGGAGTCTAGATGCCAGCTGGGACATGGATGAGGGAGAAAAACTAACAGAATTATGTGTGGTTTAAGTGAAATCGAGATACAGCTTTAGGTAAAAATGAACAATTGGGTCTGAGGGCCACCTTGTACCTGTGAAAGTTAAGGCAGATCATATTGTAGGGCCGGGGTTTGTGTAGAGGGTATGGTGACTGGGAATGTGGTTTTCAAAATTAGAAATGGAGAGTCCTGGCAAGTTTGAAGGTTTAGTTGCTGAATACATACCACACAGAGACTGCAGAGCGGATTTGGGACCATGGTTAAAGGCTATAGCTTATCAAGGTGCTTCTGGACCTTCATGAAGGTTTGAGAAGACATAGTTATGCCATCATCTTGTGGTAGTTCTATGTTGCTGGCAGGTATATTCTGATAGAGGAGATGGCTAGGCCTTTTGTTTTAAGCAATAGGAAGAAGTCCAGAATTACTGCTATGTCTCAGGATGCTGGGCTGCTAGAACTTTTGCCTGAAACCTTTTCCACTTTGCTGCATAAGAAATATAAGTAGATGGTTTGTCAGAGGCCATGAGTACTGCTAGTAGACTGCAGCAGAGAATTTTGAGTATTCTCTGTGGCGATCTGGATTTTGGATCCTTCTGTTGTTCATTGAAATAAGGTCTGGTCTGTAAGAAAAGTGGAAGAATGTGTGCTTGGAGAATAGGAAGAGTGGTGCAAATGGTGATTGTTTGAGTCACCAAGAAGTGATCAAGATACAGATCTTGTTCACCACCTTTAGGATCCTTAGAAATGGAGGGAAAATGCAACTTAGGCACAACCATCAGTGCACAAGGAAGGCATTTCCAAGAAAAATAGAATTGTGACCCACACTGATACCGAAATGGTGGCACTTGGAATTCCAAGCATTCCCATTTCTTGAATATTGTTTTGACGACCTCTGTGTGAAGTTTCTACTCAAGTGGGGATGCTCCTGACCTACTGAATATATCAGCCAGGGGATTGGTTGCTCCTGCAAGGTGAATGGCTGTTGGGGTGAAGCACCAGTCCCAGAGGTTGAAGGTAAGGTTGAGGAGCAGGAATGACTCTGTGATATAGCAAGTGGCACTGGTAATATCTGTTTCTAATTAAAAGCCAAGAGAGGCTTTTTATCTTGACTGAACTTTGTTTGTTGGAGCTCAAGGTAGAGTTGGACCTATGCAGGCAGAAATGTGCATCACCAGGCTTGAAGGAGCTTATTCCCAGGTGACTCTTGTCTAAGATGGTAGCCATGCCATGCAAGTATAACTGTGAGACTTTCTGAGTGCTTTGTTTTCAATGTCTGGGCTGAATGATGGAATGTTCATTCAGAGGCTTAACTCCTCTTAGAATACATGATAGAAAAGCAGGATCCTTCTCTTGCCTGGGATTGTGACTATCAATTTTGCTTGGGCTTTGACATGATGAGCTCCAGAACTGACTGCCGTGCCACTGGTGGTGTCCGTGGAATGAGTATGTTCAGCCAGCCCAGCACCACAGTTGGCTGCATGCTGAGATACCACAGCCCAGCAGCCACAGGTCAGCTGCTAAGAGGCTCCCAGAATCACTCTTCCTTTGTTCTTTCTTCCTTTGTTCCTTTCCCTGTTGCAGCCTGCTAATTACCTGCCTCCCACTCTGGCTGAGGCAACAATAAGGATGAAAGTGGTAGGTCCACTTCTCCTAAAATATAGTCTTCCAAGAGTGTGTCCTCAGGGTCTGAA